TTGAATATAAATAGAAGATAATTCACTTCCTCTCAGCTGCATTCAACAGTTGAGGACTTGTAATATTAAAATAAAAAATGTAAAACCAAAGGCATACAGAGAACACATATCTTTAGCAAATTGTCATTCCAGTCGCTGAAAATGTCTGATTAACCTTGGGTACATCAGCCATAATGGTGGGAGTGAATTATAATGTTTAAGACATACTGCATAAGAGATCCTGCACAATCATTTTTATTTATTCATTCAGGTGAGCTCTGATATAGTCACAGATGTCTTGGGGTAGATTAACAAAAGCATCCATTTTGCACTTTTTGAGTCATCAACCACTGTTAATCACATGTTAACACTAACCTGCACAGGTAGTGGGTGGATTTGTTGTCTTAATAGCAGTGGTGGAGTTAAGAATTTAGGGGCTCACTATAATGCACTGTTTTGTTGTTTGTTTGTTTGTTTGTTTGTTTTTTTGGAGTTTTTAAATATTTATTGTCTGTTTTTCCCCATTGTTCTAGAGATGCACACATCTCTATTTGAATTAGGGTGAATTGGAAACTTGTCTTAATACTTAGGAAGACTAGATAACCAGAACTGAAAGTAGTTGTATTTATTTATTTAGTAAGTTTTTTTTTATTTGGTCACATCCATTATATATGAATATGCTATGATTATGTTCAAATCAAGATCAAGCTGACTCATCCATTCTAATGTGAAAGGGGGAACGCTTTGACAGTTAAAATAGATTTGACTCAGATACTATTTTGATAGGTTTTTTTTTGCTTTGTTTAAAAGTAAACCAGTCTCATTTAATAACATATTGAGAGAAAATAAAATTGTTCTGAGGCCTCGGCCATTAGTGGCACTGATGGCAATTGTTTGGGGGGCCCTCCAGGTTCGGGGGCTCTAAGCGGCTGCCTACTTTTGCCTAATGGTAGCGCCGCTTTTGCTTAATAGTTGTCCAGATGGTGATGCTAGCCTAGCTTGTATCCACCTGCCCTTAGTCTACTTGTTTTGTTTGACTGCTTGAGTGATTGGTAGGGGTCAAAAAGGCTGTCAGCACAGAGTGGCAGCCACATCTCAGCCTCAGCTTTGGCCATCGCAACAAAATAAACATTTTCCACCTTAAAAATTCACTACCTCATCTTATCTTGGAAACTAAATAGGCTTGGGTTTTCCAAGTGGGGCAGTATTGGGTCTATTGCATACTATTGCTGTGTTTTTAAGCAAGACACTTCACCCACCTTGCCAAGTATGAGTGTGGTGTGTACGTCAGGGCAGCTGTGGCAAGTATGGAGTGAATAAATAATGTAAATGTAACGTGAATTTGACCATCAAGCATTTTATCATCTTTCATTATGCTTAAGTCTATAATAAGGTCAAATTTGCTTACTTTAGCCCCAGTTCTAAAGGTACTAGCATTAGAGGGATTCTTGATCATGTATCTTTGTATGTATGTCACCATCACGAGGGCTGTAAGATATTTTGAAACCTTTACAAGTCATTAAAGCGATGATATTATCAGTTTTATCGATTATGTGTCAGCACAGAGGAATAAAACAGGATCTGTCTATGTCATTTGTTACCCACAGTGCACCAGACACAAAAACATCATTTACTCTGCCACAATGAGCAATGACTATCCGCCGTAAAAGATCTCACTTGTCATTTTGAGCAAGCTAATTCCATCTTACACACACATCAGTGAAGTCGGTGGCAGCACATCCTAATCTGAAACCATTAATGACTTTGCTGCCAGAGACAAAGCATTAGATTATATTGTCTTCTTTTGTGCACAATTTATTTAGGCATACATCAAACCAGGAGAAAGAGTTTAATTACGATGTTGTTCGAGCTGCGCCGTGCTCTGCTCCATCAATATTTGAACTACACTGAGCAATGAGCAGTTCAGTGGCAGTTCTAAAGTTTGTATAGGAATAAGACACATTTTATTTTAGGACAAAGGAAGAGAAGAGGGTTTAAGTGGAAATTGGGTGTTCTGTTTAGGGTTTTGTAGAAAAAAACCTAACATTTCTTTATGCCTATGATATGGAACAGCACATTTTTATGGCCTGTACTTGTGCACAGATATGAAGAATATTGCTTTTACTCACAAGCACTGTAATGATTTAAATGTTGAAAACCAGTTGACTAAAACCCAAAAGGACCCTCTCTGATCTAAATCCTCTACCTAAATGCCAGCACCTGCAGCCAAGTCAGTACTAGTGCAGACAAACATGGCTTGTTTATAAACTGAATGAGGGAAATTTGTATGTGCCCTTTATCTTCAAGTTAAGAGTGCAGGCTTCATTCCATAACCTGAATACTTTTCAGAGGTCTATAGTAAAGTCTGGTGTTAAGTGGTGAATAAAATGGAGACCATGTTTCAACCATGTGCGTACTGCTATTGCTATTACTGGAACTAGCCCTGCCTTTTAAGTTGCTTACATTATTGGTTTTCAGTTTCCTTAGGAGGCATTGATGGGATGATAACTTTTTATCATCCCAAATAAACATAATAATCATCTGATAAACTGATTAAGCACTATTCATATCATGAAATGTCTAATCTGTCCGCTCAATAGAGAACCGTTATATTAGTTTTTAACCATGGTCGTATGCTGCCCTCATGTGGTTAAAATGTGCTAGTGCCATTCCTCTGTGCTAATGTAACTCCTGTAGAGGGCGCACTTGTTGTAAATATAAACATATGGGGACGTTATATAAATAAAATGCTATAAGTTGTCTGTTTGTTCTGTTTTCTGGATGATTTGGGTAGATGGATTTTCACAAACAACGACCCATTGCGTTCTGTCCAATCAGTTTTACATTAAGTGTAAAGTTCCTGCTTCAGAGCACCAGCAGATGGAGCACAATGCTTGCTCAGGGATATTTAGCTCAAGAATTTATGGTAATGTGCCATTGTTGATATGGGCAAATCCCTTCTAGTGCATTTGCCAATTGTGTACCATTCATAAAATTCTGAAATAAAAAATACAACGTAAATTTGTACATTTATTGATACAAATATGACATCAAATACATCACCTTCTTTTTGGGAAATATCTCCTTTCCAGCAGTTTTGGAAGTTACTTGAAAAAACCTGCTACATATCTCTGTGCTACATTAAAACATTTAACAAGGACAAAGTAAGTAATCTCTTCACAATTCATGTGCTGTGTCAAAGTCCATTAAGGCATCATACAGTATATAGGAAGAAATGACATCTTCTAAATATGGCAAAAGTGGCAGCATAGTCAATAGAATAATCAACTTGCAGAACATGAGACGAATATTAAAAATCACAATTCAAAATAAATACATTTGTTATTATTAAAAGCTTTTTAAAGTGTCCAAAACACTCATGCATTTACATTTGGTGCCATACATTCTTGTGGACATGCACTGCACTTTGTCTTTTTCATGCAAAGAAAACTGTGAGCGCACAAAAAGGTAAAATGGTACAATATGTACAACTGCCTAGAATCACTTAAGTATATTAATAAAGCATTGAACACAAAATGAGCTTCAATTTAGATGATCATTAAAACTGTCATAAGGGTTTGCAAGATGTGGTTAGTCAACAGTAGTTACAATATACATTCCTTCCAGTGCAAAAGCATCCAAGTAGGCAATAAACTCATCTACAAAAGATGTCAGTATAGCTACAAATAATTCAAATGCCACAAAGGTGTAGCCCTAAGAGGGAATTTTGTTGCACATTGGTCTGACTACATTGTGCAGTATTCGAATATATTTGCTTTCAATATTGCAAATATAGTTTATATTAAAAAAAAAATTTTCTGGAATTTTTTGTCAGCTATTTTACAGTAAGTTCACAAATGTCTGGTCTTTAAACCTAAATTAAGTTTGAATAATTTGTATTTTTCTTTATTTTATTTTAATAAATTTCTGATGGGTGGTGAGGCCCTGCCTCAAGTGGAGGTGTTCGAGTATCTCGGGGTCTTGTTCACAAGTGAGGGGAGGACAGAGCATGAGATTGACAGGTGGATCTTGTGCAGCGTCGGTAGTGATGCGATCGCTGTATCAGACCGTTGTGGTGAAGAGAGAGCTGAGGCGAAAGGCAAAGCTCTCGATTTATCGGTCAATCTTCGTTCCTACCCTCACCTATGAGCTCTGGGTAATGACCGAAAGGACGAGATCGCGGATACAAGAGGCTGAAATGAGTTTCCTCCGCAGGGTGGCTGGGCGTTCCCTTATAAATAGGGTGAGGAGCTCGGTCACATGGGAGGAGCTTGGAGTAGAGCCGCTGCTCCTCCACATCGAGAGGAGCCAGTTGAGGTGGCTCAGGCAATTGTTCTGGATGCCTCTTGGGAGGTGTTCTGGGCATCTGGCTACTTACTTATGAAGAATTTGTATTTAATGCTGCCAGTTCTACTTGTATAGGAAGAATAGAGTCACAGCAAGTAACAATTCTTCAAAAACTGTAAGTATGTTGTAGTTATTTGATCAAGTAAATCTTGCTACAAAAGACACTATGTTCAACCTCATCTGTTTTAGTGCCTTTCCTTAGCCTGAATATACAGTATGGTCACATTAGTGTTAGGAAAAACCAAAATCTCATGTGCCAAATCAATGTGCAAATCTCTGCTATGGCCCGAGAATAGCAAAATAGGAAGATACTTCAAATACCCCTTAACTACAAAGTCCAAAGCCACAAAATGATTGAAGAACTGTAGCCTGGAAGTTAATTTGAGAGCTCCATCATGCCAAAGGGAAAACTGTTTCAGTCTCATTTTCAACTGAGCACAAATCTGTGTTTATGCTGCACATAAATCCAAATTGAGACATAGCTGTCCCAATTGGCAGACTGTGTGCTCCAGTGTGTTGAAAAGTTATGTAAGAGTATTTTAAAATACCTATGTGCACCAGCAGCAAACTGTGTCGTATCATGACTGTGCACCTGTCTGCTTTACCAAATCTCATAGTACAAATTCAAGTGTCTCAAAATAGTGTACATTCATAAAACTATTTATTTGTGCTCACTATACAGATTTTCTTCTGGACCGCACAAAGTCGTGAAAACTGTGTTTGGGTGACAAGGTACTCCCCGGTGAAGAGAAACCAGTGTTGTCCCTGCATCCATCCAAGCATCCTTCAATCCTATAGGACACCGAGTTGTAGTGCACAGAATTCAGGTGGCACCCATGGTTTTCTGCCATGAGTGGGCTGTCACAGATGCCCAGCCGGTAGCACATACAAGAGCACAGAGAGCTCAAGCTGGACTGTGGTCTTCTGTCCCCAGCAATGTGGAAGTGCAGGCGGGCACGGCGCGGACTCCTCTTCCTCTCCTGGTCCTCTGCTGGGGATGCGATCAGGTTAGTCCGGCTGGTCCCCTCCTCCATTGGGAGAAACAGAGTGCTGTGTCTCCGCCTGTTCACTGTCCTTTGCCTGCGTTCCCCCAAAATCCGAAGACCTCCATCTAAAAGCCCCTTGTTCCTCTTTAGGGACACCCGCTCCTGTGCATCTCTCCTCTCATCCTCAGAGTTCATGGTGAGAAATCGAAGAACGACGAGATTCAGGAAAGCCCCAATTACAGTGAGCCCAACCAGGATGTACATGAAACTAAAGGCTACATATGGAGTTTTCTCTTGTAGATCTTCTTTCTTTTGCAGAGCCACAAAGTCCCCAAAGCCAATTGTGGTGAGTGTGATGAAACAGTAGTAGTACGCATGGAAGAAGCTCCATCCTTCAAAATGTGCGAAGGCAGCAGCACCCACACACAGGGTGCCAAGACAAGACAGGAAGCCCACCAGCACCATGTTCTCCATGGACACCTCAGTGCGCCTGCAGCCCAGGCACTGCTTTGTCTTGTGGAGGAGATAGCGCACAAATGTGTTCATGCGCTCACCCAGGCTCTGGAACATGACCAGAGTGAGAGGGATGCCCAGAACTGCGTAGAACATGCAGAAGACTTTCCCTGCGTCTGTGCCTGGCGCTGCATGTCCATAACCTCAATACACATAGACAGAGATGCATTAAAACACAAGCAACATTGGCATAAAGTGAAACTAAGACTCATTTAATTTAAAGGCCCTATTTTCTAATACATTATAAACTACACACCAGGTGCCACATAAACTTACCAATTGTGGTAATAACTGTTATTGCAAAGTAGAAAGAGCCTGCAAATTTCCACTGCCTGCCAGCGCGATGAGGCTCAGCCTGTAGCACTACTCGCTCGATCTCACGGTAGTCATCCTCAGAGAAGCGGTACTTCTTCTTCATTTCGCTGCGCTTCTGCTCCAAGATGCGCCTCCGCGAGCTCTCCGTCTCAGACTCGAGTGCGTCGAACACCGCGGCGCCGACCAGCAGATACGAGAACATACACAGAATCAGCGACAGCGTCCGCACGTTCTGCTTTTTCATCTTTGGCATCGGAGCGACGCTTTCACAGGTGGTCGTGCTCTCACGCGAGTGTCCTCCACATCTGTACTGCAGCCTGTTGCGTAAAGCGTGGGGCTGGGAGTGTGCAGGGGAAGAAGACCTGGGGCTCTGACAGGTAGCCTACACGCGGAGAGTAATGTGTGAATATGCGCTTACAGTGACCAGCGCTTTCACTCTTCTGTTACGCTATCTATTTAAGCGGGAGCTTAGCTTCGCATGCGCAAACCAACTCAAAAGAAAAAAAAAATCGTCACTTTCATAATTCATATTATTAGAGCCTTATCAGCTAAATGAGCAACAAGTTGAGTCCCTCCGGCAGAAACCAATCTACCGGGAAGAGGGGGGTCAGCACCACGGACAGCACTCAAGAGTGTTTCCATAGCTTTCATTACTAAGGCACATATCAACAATCATGCGGGTTGTTTTATCAGCAGCTGCATATTACGTAATTGGTATGAAGAAGAAGATACAAATTCTAGTATAGATATTTTGTTGTCTGAATACCAAATTTAATTTTAATTGTGTAAAATAATTTATTTGGATTTATTATAAAATCATTAAAATATTGGAATAAGTAAGTAATAATACCTACTAAAAACAAAATCCAAAAACTCAGAAATTCTGGCCTATTTCAAATAAGAGAATAAAAATAAAAGAGAAAAAAGCAAAGAAGCAATCTTCACTACAGTGTCGTAGGCCTGCTTCTGGAAAATCTGTAGCTCACGTTCTGTAGGTTGCCATGGTTACTTAAAGGCTAGCAGATGCTAAGCCTAAGATAGTTTATTAAAACTGCATAAATATTAGGTAATAAAAAACATATTCACAACAAATAACCTTCCATGGATCCTGTCTCAAAATTAAATTGGGCATGAATCTACTTCTGAGAGATTGCCCGTGTGTCTTTGAAGGATGGGTCAAATGCAGAGGCCAGATTTGCCCTCATCAACAACAATAGCATACCTTATCAAAGCCTCACAGTCTCATAACAATGTAAAACGAACATATTTATAACTGTGACTGACAGATGATGTAATGCAGGACTGTAGTGTCACATCAGGTGGGGCAGACAGGTTAACTTGTGCTCTTGTTCTCCTCATTCAGACAGCAGTGGGCGCATCTAAGTGGCCTGTGCTTCTGTTAAGTGGCTAAACCAGCACACTTCCATCCCTGTTGTGCATCAAACCAGACCCCCATAAATCAATTACTTCCACCTCCGATGAGAGAGCAACCTCAAGCATAGACTCAGCCATCAGTCCAGGTACAAGCTCAGGAACATAACAGAGAGCAATAACAAATGAACACAAGTTCAAAGACAAAGACATTATTATGCAAGTTTAATACAAAGTTATTCCTATTATTATATTAGTGAAACTGTTGATATTTTTGTGTTACACCTGACTTGAATGTAAATGACTATAAACCTTCACTAATGAATTCTTGTGAGTTAAAAATGCATTGTTTTGTTGTGGTGGTATGGTTGTAAAAATAAAAACGTAAGCCATACATGATTCTTTGTTGTGTTTCAGTACAGTCAGTATAATACAATCACGGTAATTTATTTAATATTTAATCTTTAACCATTTTTGCCTTGATCATTTGAAACATGGTCTTATATTACTTACAGCAAAACTGCTTTTTAGTTTGTTTGTGTTTTACTTTAGAAAAAAGTATAAATGTTTATTTTATTTGTCGACTAACATCCTTTGCATTATTATCATTCTTTGCATTATTATTATTATATTGCATTATTTTTGCAATGTTTGAGGGTGGATATATATTTTAATTTTTAGATGGGTACAATCCCTCACTTGTTCCCTTGTCCTGTTTTCTGCACAACAAAGAGGATAAAAAAATACGAAACCAATGTACTGGTGGATAGACTTGCATAAGGCAAAGCTGTGCCCTTACATTGTCAATTACTAACACAACTGCAGTGGCAATAGCTCCAGTTATTGATTTTCCACCTCAGATGAAACCATTATCTACTGTGAAATCATCAGATAAAACATCGGTGGATCTATTTTATGAAGAAGAAGTGGCACTAAATAGCAACACCAAATACTGGATGCCTGCAGAGCCCTCTGGTTTCCACAGTAACTAAGACCAAAAATAGAAACCCACACCAGCGGCCATTCAACACCCAGTCCCCTGTGATAAAGCATGCTACTATTTATACCTTGCAATTTTGAAGACTCTGTCATAAAAAAGTCATGTCACCAATTAGTGGCAAGTGATGGACATGAAAGAAGCTATTAAGCAGTCACACATCTTTGATCAAATACAGCGGGGGAGGATGCTGGGCATTTCACTCCCCTCTCAGGAACAAGTGGATTGTATTAGACCTTATTAGGAACTATTTTTGTGATACAAAATTGATCTGAGGTTAACGTTATTTTTGCATAGAATATGAATACTTGGGGGAAAAAATAGCAAAATTGAATACATGCCCTTTTGTATGAGTTAAAATGGTTTTCCCTTTTATGCTGCAACTATAATGTGAGAGGAGTGGTAGTTTCTTAGTTTCCTGTGCTAAATATGTAAACCGTATTAATTAATAATTAACATTAATGGTATGCATATCATGCATTCATAGCGTGACGTCTGATAATAATTCATTGACCAATTATTCTACCTAACTGAGCTCATTTGTGATGTAAACTCATTTTGCTCCTCTGATATATACTGAGAGATGTTGTGTGCATGGAGCCATATGTGTATAACATTACAATGTTTGTTTTTATGTTATTTTATTCGGATGAAGGATTTTCAATTTTCAAATCTGGTTGCGTTATTTCCCAGGTGCACCTGAAGGCAGCAGCAGTGCTGCAGCCGCGACGCGCGCGCTCCCGGTGCCGTTTGTGTGCGATGGAAGAGCACGAGAGCTCAGGGCCGTCCAAGTCTCCCCTCAGGATGAAGCGAGTCTAACGCCGTACATGTCATTCACCCGAGCCAGACGCGTCTGCAGGTCTCTTTTACTCCGTACGTTTGCAAAGACTTTTTCGGTTATGGAGGACGACTGTGTCTGCGAGTACGACTCGACGTGGGACACCGAGAGTGATGGAGAGGACCCGGTTGGAGAGAGCCTCCCCCGGCGGTCAAACCAAGACAAAAACAAGTCATCCTGGACACTAGTCAACGTACGTGATGTAATAACGCTTGTATATAAGGTCTTCACTTCTGTTCGTCTGTGCAAAGTTCTCCATATTCAACTCACGGAGGCGTTGCTATTATCCCCACGACTCTTAAGCTAATGTTAGCTGTGCTAGGCTAGCTGACTAGCATAAATGTTAGCACACATTCAGCTGATTTCAGCCTGAAGATATTACTGTTCCATAAATGTGTGGTTCAACAAGCAGGTCTGACTAACGCATGTCTGTTTACTGAAATGTATGCACATTTGGACTGTAACTGAATTGCCCGATACAGATGTAGTCATGGTATTGGGGCATCTTAACAAGTGTATTCTCACTTATGTTTATATCTGATCATTTGTAGTGGCACCCCACTCCCCGGAACATGAGAGCAGCAAAGGACATGCAAAACTACAGAAGAGGATATCCAGTGAGTTACTTCTTTTTTTTTTTTGTAATCTTGACTTAAACTGCAATTTCTAAATGCATGATTGTTGATTTACTCAGAACTTGGCAGATGACGATTGCCCCGAGGATAAAATGAACAATCTGCAATTTTATTTGAATAAATCCCCATCAGCTCCAGATGGTAGTTATTTTTGTTTGTTACTACACGTATATGACACATTATATAATTGAAAGTAAATAATATTTTGAATGTTTGTCACACACAGATGTCTACATTGATTCATTTCTGAAGGAATGGAAAAATGATTACAAGAGACTGGAGAGAGTTCATTCATATATTCAGTGGTATGCCATGTGATATTATGTTTGGCAGTTTAACACAACTCAAAAGCCTTTTGTAACTGTTATAATTTGTTAATTTTAGGCTTTTCCCTTTGAGAGAACCAGGAGTCAATTACATGGCTTCTGAGCTTACCAGGAAGGAGATAGAGGTCAGTTTAGAATAAGCCTTGGCAAACATTGCAGAAAACCAGATATTGGTATACTCCTTTATTTGCAGGCCACACATTAAACATCCCCTCAGTAACTGACTTGTGTTTTTTAGGCCTTCAAGAAGAGTGTGGACGCCAAAAAGAGACTTGTTGAATCCTATGAACTTATGCTGGGGTTTTATGGTATCCGCTTGGTCGACAAAGACACAGGTGAAGTGAAGCGAGCAGAGAACTGGAAGGAACGCTTTGGAAATCTTGAGCGGTGAGTTTGTGTTTTGTCAGAATTTAAATCTAGCACTTGTACTCAGACTGAATCCTGTTTTGTTTTTTCTAGGAATATGCACAACAATCTGCGTATCACCCGTATTCTGAAGAGCCTGGGAGAGCTCGGCTTTGAGCACTATCAGGCCCCACTTGTGCGCTTCTTTCTGGAGGAGACTCTGGTGAAGAAGACTCTGAGCAGTGTCAAAAGAAGTGTGCTGGACTACTTCCTGTTTGCTGTACTGGACAAGCAGAAACGCCAAGAGTTAGTGCGTTATGCCTATCTTCACTTCGAGCCAAAGGATAAATTTGTGTGGTGTCCCAGGAAAATTCAGAGACAATTCCGAAAAGCTGAGAAGCGGTCAGATGTCGTTGGGAATGGTGAAGGGAAAGACGATTCACGAGCTAGGGGTAAAGATATGGACACAAAAGAAGATGTGGATAATAAGATAAAGTCTCCAAAAGTTGATAAAACAAGTAATGACAAAATAAAATCTGAAACATCTCCTGACCCAAAAGATGAAGTTGCTGAAAATGGTAATGCTTGCGGTGAAAATAACAACAACATCGTAAGCAACGGAAGTGACTGCACGGATGATGAAGGAATGGAGCACTCGCCCAGCGCTGAAAATGAAGACGCTAAAACTGAAACCAGCTCAGACCAGAAGGACAGTACCCAGGAAGCAGACGGTGTTATGCAAACAGACAGCGAGATCAAAAAAACACCAAAGAAAAAGAGAGAAGATGATGCAGACTCTGATGGGGATCATGGTTCACCTCAGAAAGAAGTTAAAAATGGTTGTAATAAATCGGCTGGTCAACAAACGCCACTCAAGACCCCCAAAGCCTCTCTTTTGTCAGGAAGAGAGGAAAAAATCCCACGGACTGAGTATAATCCGACAACAGACAAGGATGAAGTAGTGGAGATGTCGCAAGAAACTGTGCCGGCTGTAAATGGGTCAACAGAAAGCAGTGGCGACAAAACAGCGGAAGAGCAGATAAACGGGAAAGAATCTGAGCCAATGGATACTGATTCAAGCCCTTCTAATGGGCACAACACATCTGCAGACTTAGTAATCAATAGCAAGGAAGCCGTCAACGGAACGAATAAGTGAATAGTGAAAGGACAGACTTTGAAAGACCTTTTGGCCTTATCTCTGCTTAGATATTTATACATTTTTCACTTTAAAAGGACTATGAAATTGAACTAATTTTCTCAAGGGCCAATCAGATCCGATTTACGTTAAGTTCTCAATAATGTATACTTGATAGCGTTTTTAACTTTACTACTCTTTGCACTTCGAATACATTTAGAAGAGTTACATTCTTTACTGTAAGAAAATAGTCTGACTGCATTTCTGCTAGACACAATGTTATGAACTAAAGACTGAATGTCATGATTTAAGCTATATTTAAGTAGGTAAGTATTGTTGCACAATATGTTCCATTACAGATTGGGGAAATTTTATCTGTTAAAATTGTGCCAAAAATGTCACAAGACTGGTTGATTGTAAAATATATAGGTACAGTATATGTCTTTTAAGCAGAACTGAAAAGACTTGGCTGACATTTATGATCTGCTGTATATTGAGATGAGAATAGCTAAAGAATTTTAATCCAGGGCAATGATTTTGGTCTTGAAATTTCATGATGCATTTTTGTAACTGCACTTATTTTTTCCATGTTGTAAGCTGTAGTATTTAAATAATGAAATGTTAATAACTTTACAAAAATGCTGAATTCTTTATAAATGAAACTTTCTTGGCTGAACATCTGGCTATTGATCAAGCAGAATTAAAAGCTATATTGTTTTATAAAATCTTTGTTAAGTTGGTTTTGTCTCAACAGGGCAAGCTGATCTACAGCCCTTTATCTGTTATAATGGATACAATTAACTCTCAACTCTATTTTACCAACAGTAAACTGATGTAAATGTATTGGTGTGATTCATGCTTTAGCTGGAGCCAGTTGGTGAAGCCAGAGGGAGAGTGTGGAGGAGGATTTCATCTTTCTTTGAACAGACTGAAGAGATGGAGTGTTAAGATTGCCCATTCACTTTGCTATTTGACAAAGCTGAGTGACAGTGATGCGTCCAGCGATATTGTGATGAGGGTCTAGACTAGGCCTTAATGGGTGTACAGTACTCTCTAGTAAACCTTGTTTGTCTCCTCTGTGAGAAACCCCCTCCTAAGGCCACATACCTAAACGTTGGCTCTGCCCACTTATGTCCGAAATGGTTCCCCTCATCTCGGTGCATCCTTCAGCAGTCCCACTTTGACCCCCCTCGCCCCTGTGTGCGGTCCGCTGTGAGTTCAGCCCCTTCGACTGGAGACTCGGGCTTATCTGGTACCAAGGAGGACGCCATTCAGGACCTGTACGCTGCGACGTTAAGGGACTCTCCGTAACGGGTGCAGGGGGGACTGTGGAGCGGGTACCGGGGATTTGGCCGTATTTCTTTGAATCGGTTTTGTGAGGGCGAGCGGGAGCTATGGCGAGGTTCTCCGCGCTCTGGGTGCTTCTACTGTGCCAACTCTTGACGTGGTCATCCGCACAGGTAAGCGCGGTGATGCGCAACAGACTTTCAACAGAACTTCGGTGATTTCCTTTTAACTTTTGGAATTCACAGTGCAAAATAGACTACAGCAATTAATCGACTGGATTCCAACTGCACTGCACTGCCCGGGGCTCTCGGCCGAATCGGAGAGAGCATAATTGGCTGATTGGATAGTTTTGTGGCATGTTACATTTATGTTACATGTATACATCTATTCACTACATTGTATGCATTATAATTGTGTGCAGGTGGCTACGTCGCTCACGTTAGCCTAGTAAGATGGGGTTATGTTTTCTCTGAACCTGTGGAATGCGCGCACTGGAGATCAGTGCGCCAGCGCACAATGCCGCTTCTGTTCATTCAGCTCCAGGTTTGGGGCAACGCATAAGATTAGCCGAACTTTCATACAAACAGAAAGCCAGAAATGATAAACCAGAAAAAAATAATTAACTCCTAAATATTAGTTTTACAAATGTTTTATGTTTGCTTGGCTGTCAAAGTGATTGTTGGACTTTATGTGGGACGTTTATCCATCTGGCATAAAGTTAAATTGTTCACTGCGGTGAAAATGTGTAAATTCTATTTTAAAACAGTTGGTACAGGCATATTATTATGTTGCTTGCAGCTAATTACACTGTGCATTAGTGAATATGATCATAATGTATATAGATTTTTTACACATTCTTACGGTTTCAATAAGACAAGGTTAATTGGTTTATTTATTTTTTCAGAGGCCTGGGCCCAGAGGATCCCCTGGGCAGCCAGGACCCCCAGGACCTCCAGGAAAGGATGGCACAGACGTGAGTTACACCCTCTGCTCTGAGCCAGTACTTTAAATCTCTGGCGGTGGATGTAATGAATATAAACGAGAAAAAAAAAAACACTGATCTGATAATGCAGACTTTTATGTATGGAAAAGTATAGAAAATTCTTTGTGCGTGTATCTCCTCAAAGTGTCCACAAACATAATCCATACATGTAATCATAATTATGTTTACATACACTCAGATCTAATCTGTAAGTGCCATTTGAGATGTGTGTCTTGGATGCTCCTATGCCTCTATTGACAAAATCATTGCTTGAATGAAATTGATGTGTGCAGGTGTAGTATTTTTATGTGAGTGACTCCTCCCATCTGCCCTCCCCCAGTATTAAATAAAAAACATGTTGTCAGATGGGCAGGGTTTCATTGTATTTATGAGCATCAAATGACTTTCACACTATAGAAAAACAAAAATGTGGCTGTTTGCTACAGGTGTTCCAATCAGTGAAAACTGGTAGAATGTACTCCCGGAATAAAAAACAATCAAAACTTTGAAAAAAAAAACGAAATCCAGGAAAAGTAAAAGTCACCTGACTAAAAGTATAGTTAAAAGGCCCTCAATTAAATGGCCAAAGCCAACATGTATTGACCATATATGGTATTCATCAGGACTTGTAATTGGTGTAATTGATGTAGTTGATGTAAATGAGTTAAATAATAAAGATACAACATTTCAGATGCAAATGTCTATTTTAATTTGTTGAAATCATAACAGTTAAAAACACTGGCAAATTAGATTATGCAAAATCCCATTTTGGCAATCGGTTTACAGTTGTGAGTCATTGCTTAAACTAAGCTCCCAATTTCAATTAACATATTAACTCTGGAACTGAAATGTTCCATTCGAGGGAAGCATTTGTACCTTTTAATAGTAGATATTTTGGTAAGTCTGTAAGGGACACAGAGGGCCCATTCATACATTCCCCAGCCCAGTGAGAGCATCTCAAGTTTCAGCTCACACCTTTAACCCCCCTCCCTTTCCCCAAGCCAAACGGAGCGTCTATCATGTGACCAACCACCACTGGGTCAATTTAGCCATGTTTATTCTTCACTGGGTACTGCAGAAGCTTAACATCTTGCATCAAACATGGAATATTGGCTTATTGGCTCAGTACATCCTTTTGGACAATAAATCACTTAAATGCATTTGTTTAATTGTGTCTTATAGGGTAAACCAGGCCCTGCTGGTCTACCAGGGAAAGCAGTAAGTATTTAACTTCAGTGATGTCCAGTGGATCATTTGTTTTAGGATTAGTAATGTGTAGATATTCTATTATATTTCTATAGGGACCCAAAGGAAAAGCTGGGATTCCCGGAAAATCAGGACAACCAGGCTTGCCTGGACTTCCTGGAGTGGATGTATGTTTATAATTCATAAATGTACACTAAAAGCTATGGAGGCCATTTTAAATTTATCATACTGTAATGTGTCTCTTCAGGGTATGATTGGTCCTGATGGCCCAGCCGGAAAAGATGGACCTGCAGGAGAAGCTGTAAGTGAACAGACAGGTTTTAGTGAGGGGAATAAGATAGAGACGAGGTGAAGTCTAACTGTCAGCCCAGATTTGTCCAACTGTGCCTCATGGGGGGAAATACTTTTAATGAGGTATTACAATTGGATTTATTTTCTCTAATCCGGACCGGAATGCCTACCGCCTCCAACGAATCTCATGGGATGAAGTATGTTGGTCTAGTACTGAACAGGTATTATCCACAGACAAAAGGATAATGGGGAGTTTAATGGGGAGTTGGTCTGGTGCACTTTCTGCAACTTGGAAACTTAGGAGCCAATATTACACTATTGGTGTAGAAAAATCTTTATTTACTGGGGTGGTATGATTTTACATTTGTAAAAGGACAGTGCACAGTAATACATTAGTTATGGCAAGTCATTACAGCACGGATGCTAATTTACACCTCTGTTCCTGCGCAGGCTGATGTTTTTAAAGAAATAACTACTTATCCTGACAACTTATAAGACTCAATAATACCACACCTCCTTGGAGTTATGTGCGCTTGTTTTTTGTTAGTTTTAGTTAGTTAGAAGCTAATAAAGTTTTTGCTTTGATAGGCTCTGTTATTGCACAAAACATATAAATTTCACTTGTCCTCCACGTCCTCCACCATTATAGCAAGTGTCTCTTATGTTATGACTGTTATATTAGTATGACAACCCATTATTATTAGCCTGGTAGAGCACATGTTAGGAAAAACACCCAGGAATCTTGACTGTGAAGCTGCATATTTAGTGTCAAGACAGATAAAGCCCAGACAATCAAACTCATGCTTAGACTAATGAGCAAGTGTGTCGACAAGTGCTCCTAATTACTTTGATTAGCAGACTGTTATCTCAGAGACCTGACAGGAATACTCAAACTTATGGGGAAAAAATTTAAATAAAAAAGGTTTTACGAATTTTTAGTACTAGTCTGATTGTAGCAAGGTGGGGAGATCAGTGTGCTGAGAGGATTTATTTGGGTTCTCTGGAGCTCTCACCTCAAAGACAACTCAAATACAGCTGTGAGGAATCAACACAGACTCAGACCAAGAGGAAAGCTTAACATGAATACAACAAGCAGCATAATGTGGGTGGTTCAATGCAGAAATTATGGCAATTTGTTTAATGGGGCAAAAAAGCAAGCACAATATTATCAATAACTATATATATAAGCTTAGTTTTAATGAATTTGAGTAGCCTTGACTTGCTGCTAATTTTAATAATAAAGGTAATGAGTGTCTTACTTATGTAATGTTCTGATATCTCTTCACAGGGTGAAGCAGGACCTCCTGGACCAGCCGGGCCTCCGGTAAGTAGATCCTTAAAAAACAAAAGCACTAATGTGGACTTTGATGTCTGTGACTTAATGCACCTTCCTGTGTCTTCCGTAGGGCAGAGGGAGAGCAGGAGCACCAGTGAGTACACAGCTCTGAACTATAATTTGCAAACATATCAAATAATTTGATGTTGAAGTCATACTTTATATGAGCTTGTGCCCCAAAACAAAACTATGTTTTATTTTAAGGGTTTACCTGGAACTAATGGCCTACCAGGCGGTCTTGGACCACAGGGGCCTACTGTGAGTATTTTTCAACAAAATGTAATTTACAATCTTTTGTTTTATTTGTCATGTTGCATTTGTATGTAAAGGCCAAGGCAGTTATTACTCACCAGTCAGTTTAGTTGTGTATTTTGTCGTAGTTCAAATGTCCAATGGATCTTCACATTTGTTCCGACAGGGTCCCGAGGGGCTTCCTGGACTTCCCGGCCCACCTGGTCCTGATGGCCCTCCTGTAATTATAGTTTCTTTTACTCCCATTTTATCATATATATTTTTCACTGATTTACACTATTTTGTCAAACATGCTTTTATTGCCATCTAGTGGTTGCATGGTTTCATTCATTTTATGAATGGTTCAATGAGATGATTGTTAGCTAGGAAAAGCTCTGAGACTTATACTTTCTGTTATGCAACTTCAGGGTCTCCCAGGCACACTTCAAGATCTCAATGGTGACCTTCTCGTAAGTTTCTGGCACTTATACACTATAGTAAGACAGAACAAATAAAACAATGTATTTATAATTGTTGTTTTCAGTGTCCAGCTATCTGCCCCCCTGGTCCCCCCGGCCCACCTGGAATGCCAGGATTTAAGGTGAATACAATATATATTTCTTGACAAATGTCATTAATATACTCACTCTTGTAGAATGCTGATCTTTGGTGTTTGTGTCTGCCCACAGGGTCACACTGGACACAAAGGAGATAAAGGAGAGGTTGGGAAGGACGGAGAGAAGGTGAGTGAAGGAGGTCATGTGACTATCATGTGGTACAGTCTTTGTCTGTGATTCTCACCTGAGTCCTAATTCACCTGTGCAGGGAGACGCTGGTCCTCCAGGGCCCCCTGGTATTCCAGGCACTGTGGGTCTGCAGGTGATCACACACACTCTATAATAATAATAATAATAATAATAATAATAATAATAATTAATTATTATTATATAATTATTATAAATTATAATTATTATTATTATTATTATTATTATTATTATTATTATTATTATTACACATCTTAATTTCTTTATATAAAATATTCATTCTGAAATGTCATCCTGAAGGGCCCACGGGGTCTGAGGGGGCTGCAGGGGCCCATGGGTCCAGTGGGAGACAGAGTAAGTACTATTGTAGCCTAATGTTATATAAAACAAAAGACTTAAGACTGACCTTTTCCTTGACCCTAGGGGTTGCCTGGCTTCAGAGGCAAACCTGGTGCTGCTGGCCTCATTGGAAAAAACAGTGAGTTCCTCTCTGTTTGTAGCACAACTGTAATGTTATTATATTATTTATATTATAATGTTATTGTGCATAAGCTCTTCAGTTAAGATATTGGTTGGTCCTATAAATGAATAGCTGTACATGTTTCATCTGATGCTTCCAGGGCGACGCTGGAGAGAAAGGGCCACAAGGGTTCAGAGGACCAAAGGGCGAGATGGTGAGTAATCAGTCTTAGCACTAATATACAGTACATGTCTGTGTATATAGTATGTCTATGTTATGCAGAAGAATAACAAAATATGACACTTTCAGGGTAAAATTGGTCCTAAAGGAGCACCTGGAGGGCCTGGGCCTAAAGGGGAGCCTGTGAGTATAAGCCTGACATACAAATAGCACAATGTCCAGCTGACCTTTGTAACAGTCCTGTCTCGTGTCGTCAGGGTATTCCAGGGAGAGACGGCAAAGATGGCACACCAGGACTGGATGGAGAGAAGGCAAGACACACAGTTTCCTCTGAGATTAAATGAAAAATGCCTTTTCTATAAAGCAGGTCCTTAAGTTAGTGTCTGTTGTGTTTTCAGGGCGATGCTGGGCGCCATGGTGTAGTCGGAGAGAAAGGACCAAATGGACTTCCTGTAAGAAATGATATTTTTAGCTTGTGATCAATTTAATTATCATTATAATGCATTAGATCAATCAGCATTTCAATTACAGTAGACACTGACCATTTTATATTTATCTTTTACAGGGGCTCCAGGGAAAAGCTGGTGCAAAGGGATCTAAAGGAGAAGTTGTAAGTATAGATGCTAATGAAAACATGTAAAAATGACACATGGTTTAAGAAATTTTAAAGTTGTGTTTAAAAGTGTTAATTGTTGTTTCCTCTTTTGTTTATGATAAAAGGGAGACCCAGGGAAGACTGGTGAGACGGGACCCTCTGGAGAGCCAGGTATTCCTGTATGTATCTTGTAGAATTTGGGGGAGATTTCAGTGTTATTAACACTACATATTCTGGGGTGTTTTTACTAAACTGTCTCTTCCTCAGGTGAATTGGCTTATCCCAAACAACCTACCGCCTAGGCCAGTAGGGTAGCATCCTCCGACCCAAACACGATAAAGAAGATAAGGTGCTTGAACTGAGGTCCTGACTTGAAGTCTTTCACTCAAGGTTTCGCCACCAAGGTATGTCATGAAAATGTAAACTGTAAATGTTATGAACTTGAAAAAAATTCATTTGAATCACTTTGAAGTTGTTTTCTGTAAAATGCCAGTGGAAGTTCTCTTAATGGAGGGGTTCTCAAACTGTGGGTGAGGGCCCAAAAAAGGGGCGCAGAGTGTTTCAGTGTAGCACAGTTTGATTGGCCTATTTTAAGATTAAAATAACATTAATCAGATAGAATGGAGATAGATTTAACAAAACATATGTGCCAAAATGACTGTAAAATATAAAAAAAATATAGGAAATGACAAAAATGGTCTTGATTTGGTCTCGATGGACCCTGGTCTTGGTCTTGTCTCGCTCTCGACCTTTAAAAGTCTCGGTCTCGACTCTCAGAGGTCTCGGTCTCGTCCTGGTCTTTGAACCCTATGGTCTCGGTCTGGTCTTGGTCTCGTTTATTGCGGTTTTGACTTCAGCACTAATTAAAAGTAAAAATCACAGCACCAAAGACCCCCGTTTGAGAAACACCGCGTCCTTCTACCCACACCAAAAAAATAAAACAACACCACATTTTCATCTTTCCCTTTGAAAAACATTCAAATGTAATCACCACAAAAGCTTTAACATGTAACATCTGCAGCTCAAATCACACTTTGCCTAATTACTCTTCGCCTATTCAATGAACCCTGATTATCCTGGCCATACAACGCTCCCATTCATCCACCAAAACCAAAATTATTCACACCCCATCTGCAAACCCACTGCTGTTTTCCTCAAAATCAATCATTTCGTTATGCTGCCTGTCAAAAAAAACACAAACATTTCTCTCCAAAAATTCTGATTCTGAATTTGAATCGTGCATCTCATCTCCTGCTGTCATCAGGGGAGTTTACAAGAGCGCACCAGTGACAAGATTAGGCTCAAATAAAAAGGGAAGCTAACTTGTAAAAGTCTGGAAGCAGCACAGACACAAAAAGGTCCAAGTGACTGTAAAACGCGCCGTGTTTTTTTACAGTTTTGGCTTTTCGTTTTTGGCCCGTCGAAGGCAGCCACCCCAGAGATTTGCTTGAATTTTAAATGGCTGCTTTCTGACACAGTGAGAGCAGATGGGAGAGGAGTGAAAGAGCACGCAGCCAGACGGAAGGAGACACAAGGAGAGGAACCGTAGACGACAGTGTATTAAAAAGAAAGAATTGATATTAAAGGTGCGCTGTGGAACTTTTCTGGCGGGAGGGGAGGGGGGGATCTGCCATCTGCTCGTCTCCATGGAAACGTTATCGCTTTGTTAGACTGTCAAAAGTATCAAAAATCGGATAAAAATCGATACTAAAACTAGTATAAGAGCACATAGACGAGTACACGCCCATGGATCACCTACCTGGACCACTGAGGGATTATTTTCATTGTGAGGGTGGTCACTGAGTGCGTATACATGCACATCAATAACCCGGTTATGATCGGGTTTTTTGAGTATCCCGGTTTCTTGATGGTGCATGTAAACGCAGTAACCCGGTTTCAGTAACCCGGTTATGGCAGTATCCCGGTTATTAGAAACCGGGTTACTGTAGCTGGTTTATTCCGATAGTAACCGGGATACTTGTGGCATGTAAACGCAGTACCCCGGTTACTGCAACATAAAGTTGAGTGCGCATGCGTCCAAAAGACACTTTCCAGCCTTTCACCACAACAGTAGTGACATAAATAAATTGACCAACATAAATAAAGTGACCAAACGAGTGAAATGACTGTAAAATAAAGAGCTGCGCTAAACCTGCACACGTACGACCTGCACACGTACGACCTGCACACGTACGACCTGCACACGTACGACCTGCACACGTACGACCTGCACACGTACGACCTGCACACGTACGACCTGCACACGTACGACTCGTACGACCTGCACTCGTACGACCTGCACTCGTACGACCTGCACTCGTGTGACGCTGAAAAGCTAAAACATGAACTATCTCCTATACTCTATACACACGGAACACACTTACCATCATTAGCGCCTCTTCTGTCACAGAAATAACACACATAATCCACAGAGTCGTGTCATTTAGTCCAAAAGAAACTGATCGCATCAGCGGCACAAGGAGCGAGTTGTTTTTATCGCCGCTAACAGTTTATGCTAATTAGCCAAACGGTCTTAAGTTTCGTTTCTGTAAAACGTAAACAAATGTGATCACAGCTGAATTATCTGATCAAACGGGCTGATGTAGCTCTATAGTCTTTATGGTTTATATGTTGTAAAGTTGAGTTTATTTATGCAGAAGATTTTAATGAAGAATCTGCACAGTGGATTGTGGGAGATCTCGTAGCTCCTTAGCTTCTTATGCTAAAGGAGCTCACGGTTTGTATTTTTCCTGGTTTATGAAATTGATTTAAGTAAATTTTTGCGCCTGCGCATTTGTAAGATTATGTCAAGAAACCGGGATACTCCATTTGATCATGTATACGTGGATATGAGTATCCCGGTTTCTCAGTGCGCATGTAAACGCAGTAACACGAATACTGACATAACCGGGATATGGCTAATAACCGGGTTATTGATGTGCATGTATACGCACTCACTGCTCCATAGATCTGACTGTAACATGTAACATGGCCTGGTGGTGCAATCTGCTTCTGTTTATGTTAAATGCCATACTGGGGAAGATTCCAGTCAAAGCAATGATGTTTATCTGTATGTTGTTTTTTACCTCAGGAAAACTGATTGTATTTCGGTCACGTTTACACAGAGTCGGGGATATTGAGAAACGATTATTTCCCTCCGTCTGTTTTCTAAAATAACCTCATGCACATAGCATCGTTTTCAAAAAAAGTTTTCGTTTACGTCAACCCGCATAAATACTGGCTGGGCAGCAACTGGATTAGATTCAAACCCATAGCTTTTATTTCATTTCATCAAAATTGCTGACCTCCGAGCTCATTCGTCTCTGGCAGAGGTGGGGACTTGCAAGTCTGAACTCAAGTCAGACTTGAGTCAACTATTTTTTAGGACTTGAGACTTGACTTGATAAAATGGACTAAGACTTGGGACTCGGCTTGGACTTATTTATTTATTTATTTATTTATTTGAAAAGGGACAATACACATTAATCAACATCAAAACAATGTAAATGTGCCCGAGTTCGCTGATAAGAGCTCATTTGCATCGGTAGTCCCTTTGCCAGATGTCAAAAAGGCATCCTAAAAGAAAATACACTTAAATGTTACACATCAAAAATTACTTGAAGGTCAATGACTTGGGACTTGACTTGGACTTAAGAAGACTTGGGAAGCACTTTTAAATCCGAATTCTTTCTATTCTGATGGTAATAATTCACTCTAAGATCTTGTCAAGACATTTAAAAAGGAGAAAAATAACATTTCTACAACTCTTACATGCTCTATAAATACTCACATATAAATATACTATGACTTCTTAAGTACAATTTATCTTAAAATTCATATAAACTGCAAAAATCCTGGTTTAAAGACTTAAAATAACTTGAAGCTCAAAGCAGCCGACTTGGACTTGACTTGGACTTATGGGCCAGTGACTCGAGACTCAACTTGGACTTGCCTGTATTTGACTTGGGACTTGACTCGGTTTTGAGGCCAAAGACTTGATCATCATCGTAGCAAAAGTTAAACAATGGTCCAGTTTCGATGTTCGATGTCCAACAAAAAGCCGAAGAGGGACTAAACTGAACTTACGTAACGTCGCAAATGAGCTCACCTGTAGCTCCAGCTAAGTCACTTCTTTCTGGTCAAATTATGTAAAAATAAAGCCTAAAAAAAATAAAGTCTAACCAAGCCTCAGACCGAGCAGTGCCTCTAGTTAGCATCACACTCGCAGGTAAAGTTGATGTTGAATGTTCACGTTGCTGCAAAGTATCATTTATCCGTAGCATTACACTGATTTGACTGACTTGTTGGGACGCTGCTTTCTAAACAAACATTCAAATACTCATTAACCAACAGAAAAGTTCCACAGTGACCCTTTAAAATGCAATAACCGGTTGAAGAGACGAATGACACGGTGTTGTTACGGTCCATTCACCCTGACAACTGATCAGAGCCCGGCTTAAATCGACATTTGGTTCACAAAAGGCGCGCGCAGCAGGAGCTCTGATGCAACAGGCCTGTACCTGTACACACTCTCATCTGCTGCCCTCCACCTGTTTTATGAAATTTAGAAGACCCCCCGCGAAGCCCCACATCTCTCTTTCTCTCTCTTTTTTTCTCTATCGCCTTGTTCTCTCGCTCCTTATCTCACTCTCTTGCCCTGCTCCTCTCCCCTTCACCGCTCTATCGCTACTATATTTCTTATCTCCTCTCATTCTCATCTCTCGTCTTGTTAACTCTGTCGTTTCGCCCACTTCTCTTTTCTCTCTCATTACTCTGTCAGCTTTGTTCACTCTTGTTCCCAACACTCCGAAGCTCTCCTCACTAAGTCACTCCCCCTACAGAGCGCCATCACAACACAATCAGCGTGCGTCCCGCTAATGAAACTACCGCGCACACTACTGTGTTTTTTTGTGTATTTATGGAGAATTGTCGCGTGGGGACATGGATAGGCTTGTGGGCGGAGCATTGTACAGAGTCTTAAAGATAATGTTAAGGAGGATTTGAATAGGGTCTGGGAGAGATCGCTAAATTACTCAAACATACAAGCATACATCTTCAGGCATGTTTTTGATGAGGAAACGTTATAACATGGTAGAAAGATGAAAAAAATAAACATAAAAAATGCAGACTATCCCCTCTTTATAAAAAAGTAAAT